GTTCTAGTGCCCATACACAACTTCCTGTATCCTGTGAGCACCAGATTCTCAGCTGATGTGGAAGAAGTATCTGACCCTCAAGATACAGACATCTAGGCCAAAGTCAGCCCAGAAAAGTAAGATGTGTGGGCCTCTCAGGGTGTATATATAATCCCCTGGGATTGATTACAAGTAGGTTAGTCCTGCCTGAACAACAAGAGACATCTGCAAGTGACTTGAAGTAAAATTCAGCATGCATCCTATTCTGAAAGCTGCTTTCAGTTACGCCTTATACTTACTCCCTGGAGTTAATGACATGGCACAGGTGCAACAGCAGCATCTGAGCATGTGAGAATAAATGGAAGCAAATTTTACCTCCTGGGATAGCGTGTAGTTGTTTTTTTTAAACTGTTTTAAGGGACATTTGTATCTTAGGCTGCTTTTAAAGCATTGGTGTCACATTATTTAAATGTGCCAAGATTCTTCTTCTTTTGAAGTCACATATTAGCTTAGTTTTCAACCTGCTGAAATTCAGTAGGCTTGAAGTTCACACCGCACTGTAATAAGCAAAGTGGAGGAAAAGGAGTTCACAACTCTGCTGCTGCTATTTAGCTTCAGAGCAGTCTGCAAGGGCAGGATTACAGCAGCCGATGGGTTAGGACCCTACTAAATTCATAGCCATGAAAATCACATCTCATTCCATAAAATCTTATCTCCCCCGTGAAACCTACCTGCTGTAGGGGAGAACAGGTTTCACAGAGTTGGGTGGCCAGAGAGCGAAGGCTGCGAGCTGGGAGTTTAGCTCTGAAAACAAAGTCCAGAAGCGAGGTGGCATCACTTTTGGGGAGGGCAGAGCTGGCTTTATGGGTGGGCAAGTGGAAACCCCACAAAGCATGTGGTCACCCCCTACGCATGCACCCAATGCCCCCTTAGCCCCCAAACCCTGAGGTTCAGCTGCTCATCCTGAAGGGGCTGGGAAGGGACAGGACTTCCTCTGCACTGGCCATTCTTGAGACCAGGTCAGACCCATCTCTGGGCATGTCCCCTGACTAAAGTGCTACACCTTCTGGGTGAGCATGCAGCTCTGAAGGCCACCCTAACTGTTGTGTTGCTGCTGGCAGTGGTGCTACCTCAGAGCTGGGTGACTGGCTAGTACCTGACCTCTGGCTGCCCAGCTCTGAGGGTAGCAGCACAGAAAGAAGGGTGGGACTACTGTCACCCCCATGCAATTGCCTTGCAACCCCCTCCTAACTCTGTTTTGGGTTAGGTGCACAGAAAGAAGGGTGGGACTACTGTCACCCCCATGCAATTGCCTTGCAACCCCCTGTTTTGGGTTAGGCCCGCTGCAGTTACACTACTGTGACATTTCAGATTGAAATATCTGAAATTTGTTATTTTTAAAATCCTATGACCATAGAAGTGGTCAACATGGACCATGAATTTGTTAGGGCCCTACCTATGGGGAGCAGGGGAGAAGAGAAAGGATATGCTTCATTTTCATGTCTAAAGGTAGCTTCAAAACTTTTTCCTCTCCACCCCCAAAAAGATGGGCTCCCCTCCTCATTTTATTCTCTTACTTGTAGACAATGTGGCAGGGGAATAAAGTGCTTCCCAACCATCCTCTTGTGGTGAAAATAGTTTTTCCTCATTAAGATCTAGCAAGAGGCACTAGATGGCGTTTCAACCTCACACCATTGCTAGCGCAGACAGTTAACGTCATGCTGTGGAGGAATGTGCATTATAGCCCCTTTAACACCCTCCATCACAGTGCTAGCAGCCAGTGGCTGATTTCCCTCACATTATGCTCCACTTAAGGGATCATCATATGTCCTCCTGTCCTAGCCTCCCTGTCCCAAATCCACATCTCTCCTGAGACAACTAGAGCATTTAATTACTTCATAAGAGAATATTAGGTCAGTATTAAGGAGCAAGGACAGAAATCAAGTCACTCTAATGAAAGACTCCTAACAACCAGACTCTCCTGCTCCTAATAGCCCTCCAATAACCCCGACATTCGCTTCTACAGGCCACAAAATTGGAGTTTTCTTGGGGGTTAACATGGTAGTTATTCCCTTCTCCTTCCCAGCCATCCTGGCTTCCTTTTTTCTGGAGATGTCAATGGGGTCACTGCCTCCCAGTTCCACAGGAGCAGTCACCAAAATCCTGCCCACCACATTCCTTTCCTGCATTAAACAGGCCTGGGGAGGCTGGCAGACTGAAGGGACTGAAATCAGGCCTGGCTTTTTATAGTTGGGCCAGGGAACGCTCACCCTGCAATGGGTAGGTTTTCCCTGTTTCGAGAAATCCCTACAAAACACAGGGAAATATTCCTCAGCAGAAAGCAACACAGCATTCCAGGGGATGAGGTTTCCTTGACCAACCCCTCCACTTTACTGCTTCCCCCCTTCCCTGACCATGACAATCATGGCCCCTAACAATCACCCCTTGCCTCTACTACAACCATACACCTGAAGACCTCTCTCACATTACCCTCTAGAAAATGGCCCTCCATCCATTTCATTTCTACTCACCTAAGAACCAACATCCTCCCCAACACACACACACACACACACACACACACTTCTCCCCTGCCTCCTTTCAAAAAGGACCTTTGGCATTTTCCAGCTGAGTCATCCAAATGTCTCTTTAGGATTATTATCTACTATATATTTGAGAAT